AGGAAAGAGAGAATGATCGACTTGCATGGCCTGCACATAAACGAGGCGCTTCACGTGCTCAGGCGTGAGCTGGCGGTGCTTAGGCATGTCGCCATGTCAGCAGAACAGGCGTGATCGTCTACATTTGCATGGGGACAGGTCAGCACACGAAGGGCCCATGTACCCTAAATAGACTCCCGACGGCAAATGTTCTTTTATTTGATTAAGATTGGATTCGATAGGAAATAGATAAAGTGTTATTCTACTGAGAAACAGAGAAACAGAGATGATGAAAAGCTAAATTTATTACCATGCAAACTACTAAGATGAGCCTTTCTCTCTGCAGCCAGCCAGCTTCTAGGACTTGGGTGCGTGGTCACACTCTGGGCTATGAAAGGCCAAGAGGTCTCTGTCTGCGAAGAAATTACCGCAATAGCTGTAGCGGTGACCCAATTTTGCAATCTTCTTGTGGTCATTTGTAATTGACCAGTAGTGGTGGGACATTGAATTTGGCCTACTGGTTTCCTTGTCACACCCTTTGAAGGCGACGGAACTCCACCGTTCAAGTGCCTCTTCAAAGGGTGTGACAAGGAAATCGGGCCAAATTCAATGTCCCACAACTGGTCAACTACAGATGACCACAAGAAGATTGCAAAATTGGGCCATTGTTGCAGTTATTGCGGTAATTTGTTCGCAGACAGAGACCTCTTGACCTTCGATGGCCCAGAGTGTGACCACGCACCCAAGTCCTAGAAGCTGGCTGCAGAGAGAAAAACTTATCTTAATAGTTTGCATTGTAATAAATTTAGCTTTTCATGATCTCTCTGAGAATTTCTCAGTAGTATAACACTTTATCTATTTCCTATCGAATCCAATCTTAATGAAATAAAAGAACATTTGCCCTCGACTTTTCTGAGCCACAACAAAGGCTCCTTCGGGTCCTTTTGTTTCGATATCAGCAGCAAGATAGAGGAGATTGTTACAATTAACTGTTCTGGAAATTTAATCAAATCTAATCCTGGAAAGTATTGGATAAAATTGTTGTATCTGTAAATGGGATAAAGTTGTAGAAGATGAATCAGTAACCGTGTACATGTAATTCAGCCCATGTTAAGAAAACGTTATTTCGTAGCAGTCAGTGATTTTACGTCGGCTTTTATTTTTGTAACATTTTGATCCCTTTTCTTGTCAATATAATTGTGAAGAAGAGCCGAAAGTGAGCATTGTTATTTTTTTTTTATTTTTTTTTTGTGGATGACCGAAAAATAAGTTCTTCACGGGTTAGATCTATTGGCCCATCTCTCAAATCATAAGGCTCGTGCACATGATTTTTTGGGTAGAAAAAATTCCCATCTTTTCTCTGGCGTTCCCCGTCATCCCATATTCTTGAGGAGATAAGCTTGGAGTTCAAAATAAAATTCCCACAGGTGTAAAAAAGGTTTCAACTTTTTCCCCTTCTTTTAGTAACACAGAAAAAGAAAAAAAAAATTGTGTGTTCTTTTGTGTAAGCGAGTGTTAGGGCCTAGAACAAAAAAAGAACTCGGGTTCCTTTTTCTTCTTTTAAAAATAAAATTCCCACACGTGTAAAATTTGCATATTGTTGTCTTGTTGAACATTTTGAATAAGTAACGTGGTAGTTATAAATGGTCATGATAAAAATGAACATGTTCTAAGAAAGCGCTCTTAAAATTTAAGCAAACTCTATCCACAGTCGTGCAGATTTTGATAATACATAAAAACTGAGGAAGTGAACAAACCATATTACTACCAAGCAAAACTATCTTACATGCTATTTCACAAACTCCTTAAAATCAACATTTGAACAGCACATTACGGTGTGCAGATCAGGCGTGTGTCGATTGGCGCGTCCCCCAGAGCCCATAAGGCTCGACTCAACCCAAGAAAATAGGTACTCTCTCTCTCTTTCTCTCTCTCTCTCAGATGATTAGCATGCGTTTGACGAAATTCTGCTCGTAGCTTTTCAAACTACAGGTAAAAACGTGGCTCTAAAATTCACACTTCACTAAACTGTTCGATGAAATGCCCGTGTGGGGGCTTTTGTCTCACAAAAGCTTTAATCTTGGCGAGTAAAGTACTTAAAAAGCCAAATCTTTTCAAATTCTAAATGGCCCTCAAGCACGTGCACAATTTTCTGCACTCAGCAACAAAATCAAGAAAACAGACTAACGGCATGTTCATCATGAGATTAGCACATTATCACTCTAAACCATACGACCTCCGAAAGTCGCCTGACCTTGAAGTAAACGAAGGGGAGGTTTTACCCTCAGAATGGCATGCGAAAGCCTTCTCAAGGCTTCGAAAGTGGGGCCCATCCCTTAAAAATCTCGACTTGATCGGCGGCCATCTCGTGAACACCGACGATGGCTCAAGAGTCTTCGACAAACAGCTCGAGCGCAAAATGCACGCATTCAAGTTCTTTTCCCGGGCCCTCATCGACCTTCCTTCAACAAAAGAGATAATGCGTAACAATTTTCTATCTTCATTTCCAGATTCTCAGTTCAAAGAAATACATTATTTTAACAAGCCGCACGAGCGGGACCCACTTACCGTGAACTCGCTAACCAAAGTGGCCGACATTCTAAGCATATCACCCCAGCAGAGGAAAATTGTCCGGCACAAAATTTGCCCGCAGGTCACAAATCACCAGCTATGGGCTGGTGCACTTGTTGAGATACTAAACCAGCTGAAATTCGAGATCGAGGGCCTGAATCGGGCCCACAGCGGGCTGAGTAAAGAAACGGGCTTGGCCCAACAAGTCGTAGCCAACTGCTTGGAATCCCTTGGGCCTGCAGTGACTCATGACCCCGAATCGAGTTCTTGGATGAGGCTTAAACCGAAGAAGATAACTGACTCTAACGAGCCCGCCAAATGGGAGGAAGTGCTCGAGATGTCGACCGACCTCATTAACTGCCTGAGTGAGGAAAATGAGTTGGCCTTTCATGTTTCGAAACTCGAGGTTATGAAAGAAGGGATGTATCATATTAGGGATTTTGTGATCGATAGGGGAATTGGGTATAAGGAGGCTCGATATCAGGAGCATTTGGTACAGAAAAATCTGATGAAGGGTTTGGGCCATTCGTCGAGATGTTTGTTCACGCTCTTGATGTATTATTTGTACGGTAGTGTTTGGGATGTTGAGGTTGATGTTCGTGGAGGGGTTTTTGGCAGTGGTGGGGGGAAAGGGGTTTGCTTGTATATGGGGAAGATTTTGACTGTCGATGAAGAGAAGGTCGTTTTGGATGGGGTGAAGCAGTTGGATAGGGCTTTAGGCTTGTTTAAGTTTGTGTGGGAGAGTGCGGAGATGAAAGGGGATTTGGAGTTGCAGGGGCATTTGTGGTGTGTTGGGGCTGAGAATAGGGTGGTTAAGTACAGGGGGAATAAGTACTTTGCGCATGAGATTCGTCTTTGATGTAATGGGAAATGATTTCAAGACAACATTTGATTCTTTGTTTGAAGTCTTGGATTTACATGTGATGCTTTCATGCAAAACGGTTGCCTTTTGTTATAATATGGGAATTTTTGGGGAAAAGGAGGTGATAAACTGTGAAACAGAGGAAAATTTCATGCATTTTTGCTTTTTATTCCCTTTCCAGTTGTATTTTACCTTATTCCTAACAGATCATCTCAGCAAATGGAAAAGTCAATCCTGCGGGATAGGGATTTACCGGTGGATCAAATACATTATCACACACCCACTTGAGCCTTTATTGATCTAACAGTAAAAAAACCCACGTGAAAGCTGGTAGACACGAATTCTCCCCTCACCAGATTTCATGCCTTTTTTTCTCTAATTCTCACCAGATTTCATGTCAATTTCTGTATTTTTTTTGGTAGAAATCACGTAATGCGAGTTGAGGAGTAAAATGAAAAATTTGAACCATAAATGTGTTTAAGGTTAACTACATGAAGGGCTAAACCCAGATTTACACTTCTAGTTCTCATATTTCTTACCTGATGGCGACAAAATCGGACAAATTGACAATAAGCTAGGTTTCCTTGGATGACAAACAAAAAAGCTATCAGTTGAAAATCGCATCATAAACAAAAATCAAGAATACAGGAAATGACATCCTCCATCATTTCAACTTGGATTTGGACGAGCTCTTGAGAGGCTTTGCCACGGGTTGGGCAGGGGCACTTCTGGCCACCTTCTTAATGTCGTATTTCACGGATAAGAAAGCACAAACCAAAGCAACCAAAATCGTTGGGTACACGAAAACTGTTGTTTGATCAGTATCCACAGGCTTTTTGAGAAGTCCTTCCTTTACGAGACCCCAAACAACAAGAAGGGTCCCGAACATGCTCATTCTTCCAGGTTTTATGATATTAATGAGGGAGCCAGCCACAGAGAAGTAGCTTCCAGCAAGAACCTAATCAGAAATCAATTATAATCACTTTTCAGGACAATATTACAAGTAATTAGAAAAACAATTATAATTGAGTTTCCCAGTTGAGAGAGAGAGAGAGAGAGAGCTGAAGGCAAACCTCCAAGCGTTGTAGGTCAGGTACTGCAGAAGCATTTTTAATGTGAGTCAAGTTATAAACGTCGAGCAGATTATTCCAGCTAGGCACAGTCATATTAGTGATGATGCCATTTACGATGGCTCCGGGATAGAGAAGGCTTTTCACCACTGGCACAGGGAAGACCTCACTAGAAATCAACTGTGAAGATGTAACATGAATAGGTGTTTTGCATGTGCCTGATCTACACTGAATCCTGAGAAGTTACAAAGAAGGGCAAAAACAAATAGTAAACAAGATTTTAAAAACAAAAGTTAAAAAAAAATAGATATAAGAAGTTATCTCTTCAAAATAGAATTAGTATTTCTTTGCTTTTCCTTGTAACAGCCGACACTTTTTGTTCTTAAATGTATCACATAGATATCAACTCAACGCAATAATTAGAAACTAATCAATGCAGCAGAACTAATGTAAATTGGCCCAGACTTGAAATTCCAGAAAGGAACCAGTCAAAAAGCTGTCAGAATTACAAACTCCAATCTATCAGGCACCATTCACATGCAGTGGATAACAAAAAATCATCAAAATAGCAGGTCGTGAAAATGGGCAATGATCAGCACGGACAATGAGAATAAACGAATAATTTATGAAACACAGTTGAAGTACTATTTTAGAGTGATATGCTTCTTTTGGTTGAAATCAATGTCGCCACAGAGCACAACATTATGCAACCAATTTCTAGGGTGCATTTTCACTCCAACTATTACGACTTTTAGCATGTAAACAAATCAGTACGTGGCCTGAACGTAATTAATAGCACCAATTACAGGTGAAATACATAAATATAACCATTGCCAGGTAAATCAAAACCAAATCATACGAATGACCAGCCTCCTTCCCGGCTACTCCTACATGTCTATTTAAGATGTTCCCTCAATGCCCAAAAAAATGGAGGAAGATAACAACACATTATATATTTCATTCATAATTTGTCCGCAAACTATACAGAAAATCATCACAACCAAGAGCTTAGCTTCACCATCAGATCGATAGTTACACTCTCACCTACAAAATCCCATGACAACATGGCTCGACCAACACAGCAGATCAACTTACCACTATTATTCAAGATCTATTATCAGTAATTAAACATAATGCGTAGATTGAGTTTTCAGTTAGAGCATTATCAAGTATCAACCAGAATGCAGTAACTAGAATCGTTCGACATATCACCACCAACAAGAATAGGAAAATTCCATTGGAAATCAACATGCTACCTTTGCCGACAGCAAAATTTACACCAGCATCTAACAAACCGAAGCTAATCTAAAAACCAAATCGATAGAACGAATGACGTTTGCTTCGAGGATTTACCTGAATAGGGGCACCTGAAGGATGATGAGCAAGAAATATATGCGACAGGCGTATGTTGATAGGTTGGACCACTTTCTCTTCGATTGAATTTTTGTGCGAGCATTTGCCATTGCAGGTTGCGCCATGGTGTTTGCAGAGAGGAGATTTTAACTGTTGATGTTCTTCTGAAATGGGAATCTGAACAGGGATTGTGAGCTTTCTATCCAAGTCAAGTGTACAGAAAATGCTGTTTTAGAGTATGAAAATGCGCTTTTTAGCCCTAGGAACACGTTTAATCTTTAAAAATCATAATACAGTTGATTAAAAGCTAAACGGACACTTCTGTGAGGTTGACGTACTCCTTACTCGATACTCGTCGTATCTAATAGACTAATACTTCATCCGATACTTCATAATCTATTCATTTTAAAAGTACAAAAATTCTTGTTGATTTGAATTATGCACTTTTTTTTTAAAAAAAAAAATATGAGTCCTAGTATATTTTAAATATGATAATTTTTAAGATTTTATGTTTCTAACGTTGATTAGAGAATCGATCGGACTGGTCGATTCGACGGATTGGACCAAAAACCGATCTTTGTATCGGTGCATTTCATAAAGAAAAATTGCCTTGAGCTTGTATAAAATCGGTTGAATCGATACATCTGTATCGGTTTTAGGGGTTTATCGGTTCATTTAAATATTTTTATTTTTTATTTTAATTATTTTAAATATTTAAAAAATTGAAAACGCCAAAAATAACGGGAGTAAAAAATAAAAAAATAATAAGAAAAAGAAAATAAAAAATGTGCGTTAATTATAATATTTCATTTTAATAAAACTCTGTTCATTTTCTCGCATCTTTCGGTCACATATTTATTATAATAATAATAAATTTTTTTATTTTATTTTAATCATTAATGCACCGTAACGTTTATCTCTATCTACAACCATCTTTTAATTGTTGGACCTTTTACTTTTGTCTCAGTATTTTTTAGTTACACAGGATTTCAGCACATAAATAATAATAATAATAATAATAATAATAATAATAATAATAATAATAATATAATAACTTTCAGCCAATTATTTGTTCACGATCTCTCAAAATTATTAAAAAAATTATATTATTATCACAATTTATGTCATAATTGTAGTGGTTCATATGTAAGTTATGCAATTTAATTATTAAAATTTTAAAATATGATATACTCATAACTTTAAATATTATGTATATACAAATAATGTATAATATTTTATTTGCTATTAGCTGACTAGTTATAAGGGCATCTAATAGACTTCTGTGTGGTTACGAGTGGACAATTTTATTACGGCCTTGTTTGGCTATTAGCTGATAGCAGATAGCAAATTGTCTTAACGAATAGCATCTAGAGAATTGTAATAACGAATTTGACAAGAGCATTGTATTAGCCGTTTATAAATAATTGTTTCTTAAAATAACGGACTGTGTAACTATTTTAGAAGTTTTATGTTTACATGCTATTCGACGAAATTCTTTCTTCTCATCAAAACACTCATATATTGAGTTTTTTTAAAATCAATATTTTAAGGTACAAAAAGACTAATCAAATAAGTTATTTACCAAACAAACTAATTAGAATATTTGACGGGTCAAACTTATATAAATGCATACTTGCTGAGCTGTTGAAAAATTTTCAACTATCAAATTCGAGACTTGTACTAACACTGTTGATTAGACACCAATGCCGGCAAAGTTTCCTTTCTTGTTATGGAAACTGAATTGCTAAATACCGCACCCATTTTACTACGTACCGCACCCCTAAAATACTAAATTACCCTTTTATTATTAAAAAAA